ATTGGATAGGAAGTTAGCCTATTCCTATCCGTAAACAGTAACTGAAATGTTTAATAAATTATGAAATCGAAAGATGACTTTTCATGCGTAAATATTTTCTGCCATATTAAATTAATAATTCAATCAATAACCAGAGGTAACATAACCTTTTTCAATTAACATTCTCCAATTCCTACAATAGCTAGTGCTGATTGGTGTATACTTATAATAGGGGGAAATTTTGTCATTAATTGTACTACATATTATTTAGAACTATTTGGATCGCAGATCTACGATGTTGGCCTGGAAAAATTCCTTAGATTGACTAACATTCACTCGTATATTTACTTAAATTCACTTATATCCATGATATTTTGCTACTGTTTTGACCTACTGATGAAGTTAAGAGATAGTTTTACTTTTGACTACGGCCAATTTATATTAATAAAAGGGTGCGTTAGTTAATGGTCGTTATCAAGAAATCAAACAGTCATATTCTAGCGTCTTACACATATTTTGGCCCATGATCGATTGGTTCATTACCAATCTGTTAAAATCATAGCCGAGAGTTAGGGTATTTTAAAGTTTTAGAGTTAATTTTGTTGTAAACTCATGATACTGTAGCTATAATGAGTTCGAATAATGAAAGCCATTGCATACCGTTTAGAAATTAATGGCTATTCCTATTCTATTCATACGGTCCGATCGATTAACTTGAAGTCATCATGGAATACTTCAGTACAATATTGCACCTGATAGAATAACTTGTTAGATAACTTCAAATTCAAATAATGCTCAATTTTATAACAACAATCTAACCAAATTTTTCAATTTTTGTTGCTGATTTTTTTCAACTGCTATTCTTAGGTTCTTAACTTCCTCATTTCATGTATTGATCCTCCACAACAATGCTAGTCACCATACGCCTAGAATGTCTTCAATTTCCAATTTTGTGAGTCTTGTATAAGAATTGTTCGCATTTTAGGATTATGCGATAGTGAAAAATGATGGAACTGTAATTTCTACTTTTCTATGACAATAGAAGACTGTTACGATATTTTAATTGATTTTATGGTGTAGCCAAGCCATGAAATGATTACCTCAATCATAATTTAGCTAAACCAATAGTAGCTGTGTTTGTGAGTATAGTGCAAATGATACTGTAGAATCCAATGTTAGGGTTAGGGTTAGGGCCATATTAACAATTTTTATCAAAGAGAGATTTTATAAACTTATCATTACATTGTTTGTATCCAGATAATACGTGTATACACCTTTTCATGTTTGGCTAGTCATTATAATGCATTGCTAATTCTTTTATCTATCAGCACGAAAATTTAATTCTTGGTCAACTGCCCTGTTATATTGCAGCATTGGAACTTCTCATGTGGCCCATCAGAAGGCCAAAGTGTAAAGTTTCGAAGCTGTAATATTTCAATGAATGGTATTTGCTGCGATTTATCATGCATTATTTTGTAAGGTAAATTATCAAGAGTCATTAATGAATATATTAATATTAAAGATCTTCATTCATTTTTGATAGAAATATGAACGTTGAGATTGATAGTTTCGCTAAAACTCTCTTATCTTAATTAAGAGAAAAATTACAAACGTACCTATAGCATTTCAAGATTAATAAGAAAAAGTTGGATGGAATATTAGACAATTTTAACTCTAGAAAATAATTGAAAGCAACGCTTTGTTGTATAAATTTGTTTCTATTCATTGCATCCTACATTGAATTGAATAAAAATTTCTTTTATCACTTCAGTTTAAGTAATCAACGTAAATAAAAGGTATGCAATGAAAAGTATGCTTTTTGATTTTGTATTCTGTCTTTGAAAGTATATTAAGAAATGACAAAATTATTTCTTGTTTACTTTCCTATTCTATATAAATGTGTAATTCTAATTACTTCTTCGTTTTTCTATTTGGAGGGTGAGAAATAGTTTTATCGGCGTAAAAGTCCGAAATTGATCATTCTCGAAGAGTTACAGAATTGTGGGTGACATGTTTTCTTGGGATAAACTCAATTTTACTATGACAAGGCTTTGGGATGGGAGTTTGTTTTCTATGATTGCCAACACCTTTGTGTCATTAGTAGTTTTGAAGGTATAAGCAAAGGAATTCATTTGTAAGTAGACTAGGGCGGAATGAGGCAAAAGACATTCTATTAAGCAGCATTCCTCTACGTGTATCTTAGTACTATGGCCACTGTGTTGTACCGTCATCTTTTTAATGAATTACGGATTCAGGCTAATTAAAGAGGCGAATGATTTACGCAACCATAGCAGCAATCAGATTTGAAATCGATTACGCGTATATCCTGTACGTATATTGAACGTATATGTTAATACCTTCGTTAGAAGTAGTTTTTTTCTCTTAGTGGACTAGTATTTCAATCATGGCATGATATATTAATAGAGACAAAGTTTCGATTCTATTAGCAGAATTAAAACTGGGTAGATTTGCAATGAATGCGATAGCTCAGTTATTAAAGTTAGAAATTCTTCTATTTTGACTGGAGTGAGATTTGTTTTTAGCAGTGGTCGACGCACCATGGCTCCGCACCGTTGCACTAAAGTTCACATCGCTAGTCAAAATGATGTACAGTATAAAACACGGCAGCACTTGACGTCGTTGATTGTATTTCAAGTTAGTATAAGTTTTAATTATTATTACTCATGAATTGGGCAGTGATGTTCGCCGTTAATAAAATTACCCGTAAAAGATGTATTGATACTCCAAAATAAATGAGAACAAATACATGTCGAACATATTCTTTTCACAATGAAGGGGATTACCCCCTCCCATCAGCCCCTATATAAATCTAGAAAGAGGGACATTTTTAATATTCAAAGTAGCCCGTGCACTCATTGATTAACAATAATTGCTGTAGGTAGGTACTGTCTGAAATCGATAAATAATTGGCAATATTGAAAAAATGGCGTGATGAAATAGCCTGCATGCAGTTTTGATGCACCGCAAGAGGGCAAATCATAAGTACATGTCACTAGTGGAATAGTATAGGTAAAAGAATGGTCACCGTCAAAATGATACCGGTGAAAAACACTTCAATTCCTAATCAGAGGTTTAATAATGAAGATTCATTTTTAAGTTACCTTTTAAGATTGGATAATTTAATCAGTATGGTCACTTTCAAAGTAATCGATTGAGTTGAACTACAGTTTATTGTACTGTGTATCTTAGTCTACGTGTATTGTAAACCGGCTACTTTATTTGGGTTAAAACGGAACCTTATCCGATAGCATAATCTCGTTGAGAATTCTACATCGTAAGATTGTGTAGCGATATACGTGTATTTGGTTCGTGTTTTTATACCAGTCATTATAACCTAAATTCGTCTACAGTATGATAACGCGGCTACCCATTTTCCACCTTGCCGCAACATTGACATTTCTCCTGGGAGACAAGACGTGACTATCAGAGGTTTGTCGATGCCACGAAACCGCTGAAAGCGATTCCGCGTCCATGAGGAACCTCTAGCCCAAAGCGCAATTTTCTATTTTTCACTGAATTATTATCACTGCTGTACTTGATCACGTCATTCAATGACTCAACGCACTATTTCAGAGCGCTGCACTGCCAATCCGTTTGCATCTTGTCGACTTCGACTGAACACTGAGCAGAGAGCAGGTGGTGAACTAGTGATGCTATAAATAAAAACAACGAAATGAACTATTTTTGCCTCCAACTGATTCTATCGCTTTTCATCATACACCATAGGAAAGTGCATGTGCCATTTCAGCCCTTGCTGTAATTGCAACAACAGAGCTGGAAGTCAACGATTTACTATTCAATGTGCCATTTCAGTCGTCGCTAACGTTGTAGTGGCATTGGATGCTAATAGCTATCCCATTAGTCGAAAGTGTCACTGGACTTGGACGCACCTTACTACAGACTACGATTGGGCAAGAGATGACTGCACCAAGGTCAGGCCAACACGACTTGTGTTGGTATATTGAGTTGCACTTGTACCCTTGGACACTGTACAGTCCTGGAAGAAGTTGGTGGCTGCCATCGGGGAAGGTCGGGGAAGGGGGGTACTAACGAATACAAGGCAGGAGGATAAGCTTATTTATTCCTTGAGTAGCTGTTAGGCCATAGAAATAAATGAGATTTTTTTGACTCAATGGCTTAACAATAACTAAGCCCAGTCGATCTTCCTCTACCCTGTACTGTGCATGTCCATTTCACTTTTAAGTTTGGATTTCTGCTTTTCATCTTATTTTGCGCATGGAAATCGCAGTGTAGTTATGGGCTTGAGCGACTGGATACAGATCACTACAGTAGAAATGACCAGTTGAAACGGTCATTTCTCAAATTTTGAATACAGTACTGTACACTGTACAGTGCAGTGCTGTACAGTGCATACAGTACAGTACAGTACTATACTGTACAGTCGCTACAGTGTACAGTGTACAGTACAGTACAGTGTACAATACTGTACAGTTCCGTAAAACGTCACTCTCCCAAATCTGAAGCCAAAAAAATTCGCGAAACGAACAACCTACAGTACTCTGCACTGTACAGTACAGTACTGTACAGCGAGTAACACAATACAGTACTGTACACACTACTGTACAGTACACTGCTCAGTAGTGTGGACTACAGTACACTACATATCCTTTCCTTACCATCCGGACGGTACTGGAATGCACTGTGAACACGCAAAAAAACACAAACAAGACGATACACAACTTTGAAGTACTCTATGTATAATATGCAATCCTACACACTTGATAAACAGTCTTGATGACATTTTTCCAACACATGGCGTTGGTAACTGTTGTCCGCCTTCTTGATGTTATCACTTAAGAAGCTTCATCGAAATCGCTATAAAAAGATTATTTATGATCCTTTGGTCCATTTGATAACTGTATAAAAAGCTAAAGTGAATCTTGCCTGCAATTACCTACTAGTCGATCTCGGAAATCCTCATGGAGATACGCTGGAGAAACTGTGTCCTTCTTTATTTTTGTCTAGTCATAGGCATTGCCATGTCGGTGAGAAAGAATTTTTCCGACGAAGCACTATGGCGATCGGCTTGTGCTCGAGTTTGTAGAGAGGTAATGTGCTAAACTACTACCCAATCTTTACATTCTATTATCGCCTAGCATTCGAAATTTCCATCTCCATGTTACAGCAATTTTTTTTCCATTTACTTTTACCTTCCATTAATTTCCTTGAAAGGAAATGTTTTACCACCACTAATTATATTTGGATGGAAAATGCCTTTGCATCATCTTTGAATTTCATATTGAGTCCCAAACTTACATCATCAATCCTTCCATTGGAACATACATGATATAGCCTTATACTGAATGGATGGAAATGGAAATTGATGAATGTTGGATACATAGTTAGAAAACATTTACTCTTGATTAAGCCAAGTATTGACGGAGAAGAAGTTGTTGTACTGTTCAGCTATGCTAGTTTCACCTTATTGTGTACAGTACTTGTGTGTACTCTCTACTGTACTGTACATTGTGGTGTTGCCGTTTTTACTGCTGTGCGTACGGGGTACGGGTGCCGGTCAGCGTAGTGTCGGAAACCAGCGATCTTGCGTAGTACTGTACAGTAAAGAAAACAGGAATGTGCTGTCATAGTAGGGAGACTGCGGCACTTTACAAAATAAAAATTGGTTAGTGACTTCTGAGTGTTTTCATGTTTTACATATCGGCTAAAAGTCATTTACCATAATTTTAAGAAATCCAATTTTGACCTGGCCTTTTTCTACGCAAAGGAAATAATTCTTGTAGACTCTCGGATAAAAGTGATAGCGATCCCTTGAATAATGACTGTGTATTCAACGGAGAGGCACGTAAACTCTCGGACTGTCACTGTTACTAGAATAGTAGGCACGGCAGAACTTGAGAAGTACCGTCGTGTTTTTTTTGTGGATTAACTCATTAACATGATGTTACAGTTAAGTAATATTTAGTGTCGTCTGCTTTCTTTGGGCAAAAACAAGTTCTAATTACAAGTTAGTAAATTGGTAGAGTACCTGTCTGTGTCTTGTATTGATAATTTGATATACATGTGCAATACAGTGCATTTTGAAAATTGGAGTTGCAATGCTCGGTATTCCCGTATATGCCTCTGGATCATATTATTTTTTTTCCCTTCCATTTTTTTTTTGGTAGCGATGATGTCCTTTGTACGGTCTTTTAAAATGGGTTTTTCCGTGACGAGTTATATTTTTGCTCACTCATTTCTATCAAGGCAGACAGTAATACCCTATAACTAGCGTGATTATACCGTACCGTACAGTATGTCGCAACTATCTCCCATGAAAAATTTTCAAACTTTGTACTTATGTATCCCGATAAAGAGTAACAAATTGATTGCTGCTATTCTACGGCCTTCGTCCTGTTTTGTCAATTGGGTTGCCGATCCGGGCGCACAGTATGCCGTCGTGCCGTCTATGTACAGTATCCACTATAGACTGAAAAAAAAGTATGTACATTACTGATTAACTACTCTAGACCGACCCTGATTCTTTATTTGCCTTTTCAGTTTTGCCACACAATTTCGTGTAGCAAACTGCTGGTGTTGAACACCACTAAAGCCTATTATTGAATACTTATTTTACTAATTGTATCTCCACCGCTTAATTATTGAAGCAAGATAATCCCAATGTTCTTGGCTTGTTTTAAATTTCGCTTAACATAGAGAAAGACGTCAGAATGTTTGACTTCATCATGTACGTCAATCCTATTCGACGGTCTCTATGCGTTTCGTGCACTAACGTTGGAAAAAATTTTTCTCTTTTTTTCTTTTTCGGATGGCATTTTTTTTTTTTCACTGGACCAGTACCCTGGTTCACACACTGTCCAATTCTTACAGTACAGTACAAGAATTTGGGTCTACTGTACCGTAGGAAAATGATTGTAGCTATCCTAATACTGTACTGTTTTGTACAGTATTACCGTCAACGCTACAGTACGATACTGTACTGGTGCGTATTCTATGCCAATCGATTGCGGTTGACCCCTTTTATTGATCAGAAGATATCTATATCTATACTGTATATACTGTATGTTGTATAGATATAGATATAGATATACTGTATATAGTATAAATAACTAACTAGATCTTAAACAATAATCTGCGATGCAAAATAAGAGATGGGTTGGGCTAGTGGAAACAGTACAATGCTGCATAATAGTGTCCTTTTGCCAGCCCTTTTCCGTGATTAGTGAAAGAATAGTGTACAAACTAGAATGACCTGAGACAATTACAACACGATTCTCTACTCTACACTACCGTATGATACAACGTACACTGGTATCATGATTATCATGAATTATTTGTAAAAGGGAATCGTGTAAATGAGGACTTTGGCGATTTGAAAATTTCTAAAATGCGTGGATAGACTATTTTATTACTCTGTAGTACCATGCAGAATCAAATCAGATTGAACGTGAATGGTATAATTCTTAACCACATTTGATGCTTATATTGATTTTCTTCTTCAATCTTGTTTTATTAGGAAGAGGTTCTTGGCAATGAACCTTTATGTCTGTTGAATGATAGTGTATGTAGGCGTGCCTGCGAAATACCTTGCCACATGAAAAAATACGACGGTGTTCTAGACTGTGAGAAAACTTGCAGTGTCGAAATAAGCGCAAGAAATTGGACTGAATTTGAAGTATGCAAAAGTAACTGCAAGCTAGCAAGCAAATTCTTTTTTATTCCTTTAAGACCATGTAAGTTGCTTTATGGTATAAACAACGCTTGATTATTTACTATCGCAATTTTTTACAGCACTGATTGACAGTGCTGTGATAATTGTCATTGAGTAAATCATTTATCGTAGAATTTTTTAAAACAATATAGCAAATGATTGAAATATGTTATTATATACATTCGCAAGTGCCAGCTATCGGTAATACTCTTAATAATATACTGTATCTTGATATTGGTCATTTATAGACGTAGATTTTAAGAATCTATCGCTTCCCGAATTTGAAAAATATATTGGAAGTAAGAGGCATCGTATTAATAACAATAGCATTATTCAATTTTGGGTTCTTATTGGAGTAGTCAATTTTCATTGAATTGTTAACCTCGACATTGAATAAATGATGGATTTTATTAATCTTAGCCGACCTATCTTGGCCGGATCTGCGATGCAATGATAAAGGCTTTGTTGTATCTCCACCTCCACAGCACGACGATCCATGTAAGTACTGTAGAGATAGTCCCAATTTAGGGTGAATATCGTAATGCTGTATTCTTAAGAATGTATCAAAAGTATTTCATCATTAATAACTGGTGTCATCACTTGCTATGTTTCAAACCGCAAACGATCAAATATGTACTTGCCCTAGAGAACTACCATCCGATGTAATAACCGATGATTTCTTTTACGTACCTGATAACAAATCTTGCTTGACTGTTACCGAACATGAGCATCTGACTTTACAGTTGCGCTGGAATGGACGTAAGTTTCCTTAATACCCCATTAGTAGTCAGTAGATGAATTACAACTCGCATAAAGTAGAGTGCATCCTTAATAAGTTGAAATCATCTAAGGTGATGAGATACTGCTTTTATATAGCTTCTCATAGAATGTACGAAGTTATCGTGACTGACGTGATCAACGAAAATAGTTCTCAGCCGTTATATCGATGTAAAGTAGTGAAAGAGCCGAAACTCGACTTAAATAATATCGATGAAATATTTCCATTATCCCAAATACACAAGGGGTTAGCTGTTTCCATCATTGATGCTGAACCAAGGTATCTTTTGAAAGTGCCACAGTACGTTGTAAAAACAAATAGCAAGGCCGCCCTTTACGTCAACGGAAAACTTGGTTTAATTCCTCCCAAAGCTTCTACACCTTCCGTAGGAGTTATCGCTACAACAAGCACCTTAGCAAAAACAACCGTTGAAGACACGAGCAAATCGACTACTGATTATGCAACGACAACAACGGCAAAGACTGCTAAATTGACAACATCACCACCGGGTATAGGCTTATTCTGTATGATAGAATCATTTAAATAATCACGTTGCCGTTCTAAACCGAATTATACTCTTTTCAGGAACGTCCTTATCGGAAGTCACCTTAATAGTAGTCCTAGCTGTTGTTGTTACGGTAGGCGCAATAATTGGCGCCTATTTCATATATAAATGGCACAAGAAAAGATCACCAGTTTTGAAAAAAGAAGAGGAAATTACGAAAATGCCTTCAAAGCTCGTGAAAGATGTCTTACCACCGCCAAATCTACCTGTGACAGGTATGATATTCTTTACTTTCAATAACTTGACACAACAATATACATACAATGTAATGCGGTATCATTCATCCGGATTAGGCGAATGCCAAAACGAGAAATGTATTGAGCAATATAAGCTGTTGGAAAAAAGAGTTGATGAAATTTTAATGGGATTGAAGAATGGTGAGTACGATTTTATCGTTGCAAATGATATTCTTCTTGATATCTCTTTTACGATAAGTAGCTAACGTTGACGTTGTCGTTACGTTTTATTATTTACATAGACCGTCCAGTTAATCTAACACCAACCACGGTTTACATAGCCACAGCCAACGTGTGCCCAACTGTCAAGACATTAATGCAGTCTTTACAAGCCCTTGAGTATGATTGTGCTCTTCCAGCAATGGAGAAAGACAAGGCTTTTGAAGTTGGTGATGGTCCTTGGACGTTTCAACGATTAGCCTCAGCAAGCAAGGTTCAATTACAGTTGACAGTCATAATTTCCTTATCTAAATTGTTGATATGAAAGTTCTATTGATTATTTATTGATAGTTGTTGCATTTCCCTCTTGTGTGCAATTCTACGCATATAGATTATTATGATTGTAAGCCAAGAGCTGCTCAAATGTATTAGTCTCTTCGAGAAAACATTAAGCGTTGGAGATTCTGGTGGTACCTTTTCGAATTCAGAACTTCGAATGATTTGTGAATGGAAATATGCACTCAGTTTGGAGTATGACTTTCCTACACAGAGTCGTCTTATTTTGGCTGCAGTAGACGATACTGATAGTGATACTATCAAGAGTATTCTCACTTTACAATCCAAGTCTGTGCTAAGATTGCCCGCTGATCGATGCAAAATCTTGGCGGCTGTGACCGGTTTATCGGAATCAGATTGTCGCGTTAACATTACTGTACAGAAGACTATGCCGGAGAAAAAGTCCGATCAACCTGATGATCGATTTGAAATACCGCTATCGGATGAACTATTAAGGGAATTGTCATCCTGTGAAGACAGTTATGCATCTGATGATGATAGCGATATATCAGATAATGACACTTTAAGTATCATTATTAATGAGAATCGCCTTCCACCCCTATTTGTTCCGGATGTAAGTATACCAATAGAAGATATCGGACGTACAAAGACCCAAACTGAAATGATCGATCCATACGCTTATGCCTAGCGAATGCATAAATTTTTCGTTTTAATTTACTGTAAGTCATATTACTATGTAACATTTAATATATATATATATATATATATATTATATATAAGTATTGGATTAGAGATATAACTTATCGCTATAATTGCAGTTTTGATTAAATTTGATGCGCTTGTTACTAAAGCAAGATTTGGTTACGCCCTGACTTATGCGTGACCTGACTGGAGTCATCACATAACTTGTATCACAATCACAATAATTGACGGATTATGTATCTATTTGTATTGTTTGATACCTGTAAATTCCTTCGTCGAAGATTGATTTTGGTGTTGTTAGCATTAAATTACTTTCGCTAACTGCAAAAATATAATTGTAGATATATCATTAACCACCAGTAGTACAATGTACATTATAATTATACGTTACTGACTCTAAATCTCTATTGATGACATTTTTCGAAGCGTAATTCTATCAGAATTATTACCTCTATTTTATCTCGAATAATGAATGAACTGGTTCACGCTAAAGTAAACTATTATTGTCATTATATGTATGTTTTCTCACCTTGTTAATTATTATAAATGCAATTTAAAGTTGTAAATCTTACTGTTGATAAAACCATAAGTGTAATTGTTCTAAAATTATCAAGCGTGCACTCAAACATAATTTGCCACCTGTGCACCATTATCCTATTTTAATAGTTGTAACCTAATACATGTTTATCTTTTACAACTTTGAAAAGAATAACTTCAGGTAAAGTGGCAACTGGATAATACAAAACTATTCGTTATAAAGATATTAATTCATTTCTCTCTCTTTATATGCAAGTACGCTTAGAGTGAGAGAAATTTTAACGTATTATTAGTTAGTTCATTAGTATATTTTGTGGTATCAATTACGCAGTCAGCCATATTGTACAATATAAAATAATCTCTTATCAAAGGCTAATTCTATATACAGTAATGATAAATGTTGAATTTTATTGATTAATATACTACCACCTGGTTAATTAAATTATGTATCTGATCTCATTTTGAGTAATTTTTGTTCCATTGAAGGGTTTCATTAATTAATTATTAATAAACAAAAATTTTACTGCTATTCTGTGAAGAGCCTATCAGTAATTACGTAAAAGAATAACGAGCGAACAAGTTCTATGTTCAATTTATACCTTATCAAAGTAGATCAGATTAGAAAGTTGCTGCAGTAGAAGTATACCTGCCGTTGTTGAGATAAAGTGTGTTGTATCGAACTTCAATTTTACTACTACAGTACTCATATATTTAATTGAGCCGTATAAAATTTTGGGACTGCCCTTGTTTCAAGAAAATGGTGTGGGTTTTACAAGAGACGTAACCAATCACCCACAAGTTCAATAAACTAAATCAACAATAGGATTGCATGGAGCACTGGTCTGTTACTCTTGGAATACATTTGCGAGAACATTGATGACAATCGAAATTTAAAAGTAATTCATGAGTAAATTAGTTTTAGTAAGTTTCATAGGTAGTCCTGGTTCCTAAATACACTTGAAAGATTAGCGTAGAGCTATCGGCTATTATTGCTTCCTCAATGTAAACCAATCAAGGTAAAATTTCAAGTTCGAATGCATGACAGAGTCCATCACCACTCTATCCATAGCACAGTGTGATCCTCGACTGGTCCAATTCATTGTCACGATTTTGACTAATTTCAATCTACGGTCTGCCATCTTGTGAAACATTAGCAATGATGTCAATTTCCCTTTTATACACTTATATCCGTTTCCACTAGTAATAGGCTGTTGGCACTTTACAATCCGTAAAATTGTGCCTTATATCAATTTCGAGGATTGTTGAAATCAAAGTCGTAGACTTAGAGCTACTATGCTATTAATAATCACTGTGCACTTTATAGTCACGACTTGTTAATAATTTACATCAGTAATAGTAGACATCTGTTTTACATCTTTGGTGAGGGGTACCGTCATGACGTCAGTATTGAACCCTGCAGACTCTGGGTGTACAATAGTATAGTGTCCCAAACAGCTGTCTGAGGCTATACTAAACAATGTATTACGATCGTCACACATTGGAGCCTACACTCAGCTCCAGAACGAGACAGTTTCGGACAGAGTGGATGGATGACCTATACTATTAAATAAAAAACATCAGCTAGCCGGGACTATTTACTATAAGCTTCTTTCCTCTGTTTACCTCTATTTACCTCCAGCATCAATCAGTTCGTTTTCACCATCGTAGTTATCCTGGCATTCCAATTCATTCAGAAGCTCGATAGCATAAATTAAAAGTATCGCCAAGGCAATCAATATCGATTCAGTTTTTCAATTTTAAAGATTAGACTGTTAAAGTGGGAGAACGTGATCTAATTCTTGCTGACGTGATCAAGAAAGGAAAGCAAAACAATCTCCAGATTGATACGATCGATGGATTAAAAAATGGCTGCTTTAACAACATTAATTCAAATATGGCTAACATTGCTCTCCATTGGTATCCTTGGCCAATCGGACTGTCGGCAGTTGTCACTGCTAGCGAACATGACTGTAGTGGAGAAAATTGCTTTTGAATCGTTAGGCCGACAAATGTGTATTGGCAAGGTAAGGGCGATCGATAGGAGGTTTTGTCTTGAAATAGTAAACAGTAGACGGTATCAATGTTGACGATAGTTTAATCATCTTCTAGAATACATGTAGACCCAATGACACTATTCATAATCATTACAGTCGACTCCAATTGCGCTGTAAAAGAGAGTGCAAAATCAATTCTTTTCCAACCTATCAAATTACTTTTCAATTGATTTTATTACTTGTAATATTACTATCGACTTTAGCGATGGTAATTCGTCGCTATAAAACACAAAAATCTGCGAGTGTCAAAAATTTCACGACCACGTTTTCCCTAACCCTAACCTCTACACGAAGTGGCTGATCTTGGAACAGGGAAATCTTTCCCTTCAGAACTTACATTCCTAAAAAATGAGATAATGCAACACACAGGTAAGGTATCCGATCAAATTTAGATTCGAAAATAAAAAGGGGAGATGATCCTAGACATTCCCCACTATGCTATATTGTATCATCGACTGTCTGATTAAAAAAGCCAGCCAATTTGGGATATACTGTAGGCCTTACAGTATGCAATATTGACTGAAGCTGTTCGTCTATCTTTTTTGCGGCCTACTGCATGTCATCGTGGTAAATTGAAGTAACTGATGATTTCTTAACAACTTGTGAAAGGCAAATTTAGTCATCCTGTTGTACTGTAGAAGTGTATTTGCCCAACAGTCTTTGTGTAGTCAACTTCCACTACGGGATCAAAAATGAATTGTTGTCACTTGTGATGATGATGACAATTAATTTACAGCTCCATCGAGACGCATATCAATGTGCATCTAAACTACGACTACATTTGATGATCGTGATGGTAAAGGAATAGTATGAACGATCATGTTGTTACTAGAGATCTAGTATAACAGTACGACTCGCCGATTATTTTATTAGTAATTGATAATCTGAATATTGAAACTAATCATTTCAACGCGAAATGGCTCAGTATCGCCTTCTCCATTTGTTGATTACTAGTCTTGCTTCAGATCACACGTGTAAGATGCATGCCTATGATGACAAGCTTGAACGCAACGCTGTACTCACTGCTATCATTTTGGAATTATTTAAAACTATTCTTGATGATGGATTGATAAAGCATCAGATAGCCTAAATTGCATGATCATCAAGATAGATCAGCAGTAGATACGCACTCCCCATTGAATTGTACGGCGTCAATTAGTCAAGAAAGCAGTGTCTAAATACAGTGGTTGGACTCCTCGCTTTTAGTAACTTGTTTTAAAGTCGTTATTTGCAATACTGTATTGTAATTCATGCTCGTTTTTCTTTGTTCAATTCTCACTCAATATTGGATAGTCCACTCCTACCATCATTTTACAGTGGAAGTTGTAGGACTATTCCGTGAGGTTAGTAATAACCTTGACTATATGGATCCTTTGCATCGAATCAATAAAATATGATTCATAAGTTGGGAGAAATGGATTTCATTTGAATATCCGGTTTCACAGCCCGCCATGACGCCAAGGCTTGTCATTGCTGACTGGTCTCGTAGTCTTTTCCAAGCATTACATTCTCTAACTTTGTCGCTAAATGCAAGTACGTCCATTATTTCTTCGATAGTGTCATCTACTGTTGTATAATATTCAAATGCACTGGTAGTTTTCTGAGATATGGATGTACTACTGATAGAGAATGGCTTTATAACATGGACCTATGTTGAATTGCAGTCGTTTAGGATTCAATCATCATAATTCAGTCATTACCATAATAAAGTGCCGTTATTCATGGGTACATCAGGCATGGGAATCATGATGAAGTGATGACTCATCCTTTCGACATAACTATCGTCCATCTTTAGTAGACCCTGCTTCAGTGAATATCAACAAACATGCTCTAAATTCCAGTATATGCGTATATATTACGTGCACATATTATCCCCCCAAAATAGTAAATTACGCTTTCTCATCAATGAACTAGGACGTAGCATTATAGCTGACTATATAACTTGGTATAATAGACTGAAACAATTGAAGAGAGAGGTTTCCCAATCCTAAAATTCGCTCAATAAAGATCACCTTTGCTCTTCCTTAAATTAATATTTCTGTCTTGAAGGCTTATGTCAAGTTAGAAGAACCGAAATGCTACGTCGAAACCCGCAAATAATTATATATATATATAATTAATTAAAAAAAAAGCGTTGCGAGAACAATGACGTCCATTATTAATCGACTTTCAATCACGCTTTTAATTTTTTAGTACCGCACTTGATTCCAAGAAGAATAAGCATGCTGTATTATTGCTATTGTTGCCCTTGTAACAGTGGATCCACCACCGATTTCTATGTCAATAGACGAGCAGGGCAGGATCTCTAATAATATTTCATATCCTATCTTAGATGTACTTTTATTTTTGTTTACAACTCAAATTGAAGGAAAAATTGTTTACTTTAGTCAACATTCTTGGATAGTCATCGTTGATCCTTTATATCAATTCGTATCCTATTGTACAGCTTGTCAACTTTTAGACAAACAACAGCACAAAGAAACATGGAGGTTATTCAACAACCACAAGGCATACAGTAAATTGTATAGTCTAGTATCAATTATTCAGTTATTGACGGAATCTGCTACGTTCCGTTTTCTATTTTTATACAATGATGTTCAAGTAGATGCAATCCGAACATTTTTTTCGGTCAAACATGCACACTAGTTGAATACTGTTCCAGTACATTATGGAAGCAAAGATAGCTTGTAGCAGTTAATTACACGATAATTAGAATTAAACGTATACCGACTATTCGATGGACAATAGTATACTGACCTCGACTGCCTATAGAAAGGATAACTTTCAGCCACTTCCCTAAATGACGTCAATGATTATTTTATTCTGCTAAACTGAGAAGGATAAACTCCAAGTTATACTTGAATAACGTCTACTGTAGGGATTAATTAATTAATATAATGTACTTATTGACTCAATCATCACTGCCTACCATCCGTTATCAATGATTGATACTTAGAATGCATTTTGTAGCTCGTCACTAGCTATCCATTCTGAGTGGAGTGGAAGGGAAAATAATAATTTGAAATCCCATTTTTGATGAACTGGAGAATGAAGTAAATTATGGAAGAAGAACTTTCATAATAACTTGATTAATACAATGAGAGAATTACTTATCATGCTATGTAAACTACTTTATTCATCAATGATACTCAAGCTTAAACTAAAAGCTTACGCTGTACTAAACCCGCAACTTTTAAAATTTCCCTTACTCAACAAACTGTAAAATGGCCAACGTTACTAATCTGATGAAATCAACTATTCGGTTTGGTCGTCACTTCACTGGTATACCCCAGAAGATTAATTAAACCAAATTTTACAGATATACAGTAGAAATACTCCTAAAGTTTAATAATAGACTTACACTCTGTTAAAGAACGTTTACAATTGACTATACGTCTCTTCACTCAGACGGACAACTTGTAAGTAATCAAAGACTATAAATTAGTAAAATATCTCAAAATCTTCCTTCAGTGATCTTTACTGAGATCTGACATACGCTATACGTGGTCAATTCCTTTCCTTTTACCCTCCCATGCTTGCTATCTATTCCTGTACTAATAAATTAATATAGGATTTATAGAGATAAATCTGGTACCGTCATGCAAATGTAAATTACTTGTAGATTACTAGTCATCAAAGTGTGGATGGACTAAAACTGGATAACAGTATGTGACGACCTGCACTTATTCAGATAGTCAAAACAAAAATTATTGGAGTTTTAAATATAGGCCCGTTATTTCAAAATTTTCCCCTTGAAATTGAATTGAATTTTTTAGAACAGCTTCAATATTATTATCGCTATATCCATAATCTTTAACAAGATCATGAATAGTTACTATGCTAGTATCAATAACTTGTAATATATCACATAATTCGTATTATCCTATTTTCTCTTCTAGTATATCGATTATCAGTATTTTAACGCAAGATGTATTCAAAACGATCCATCACCTGGCCTATATCAAAAATGTCGAGAAGGTTGTCTTATACCTATACTCAATATTAACTTTTGGAACACGAAATATCAATGCAGAAGTTTATGCTTTGCTAGAGCAAAGGATTTTACTCTAGCGACGTGCATGCTAGCTTGCAATTCCTTAGATGTAATGCGAGACCATCTAAGTGACTACTTGAGTAAGTACAGTAAATTAATCACCTAAATGTTGCACTTGTATACTATGTCTCAAGGCAGATTCTATTTAACACTGGAAAAACCTTTGCTAATGCCGATATTGTCCTTTTTTCCTTCTAGAATTGCGCTTTAAGCCGTACTTACTACCTGAGATTGCTACTAAATACAACAGATCCCTAGCATCAATCAACTTTGAACATCTTCCAATTAAGAAACCTGCTCCACATGATAAAGGGCCTACTCTCCTACCCGCAACAGAATTGAAGGCGAAAGAAGAGATTATGAAACGCATTGTAGATCCTGATTCATCCATTACCATTCCAAAAATGTGCATTAATCAAGCGCAAATTAATTTAGCCAAGCAAGTGCAAGGTAACCAGTTTTTAAACATAAAAAGGATCTTAAAGTTTGCTATCGCAATTGATACTAACTCTTTGTAAAATGATGTAGCTTTTATAACGCCTGCGACCGTTTGCTACTGTTATGATCAAAGTATGTCAACAAGCGATAGAGCCCCAATACCTTCCATTCCATTTACTAAAACAGTTACTATTACTGAAAGCAAAAGACTATTACTGCGCTTAGATTGGACAAGGTCGTCCTATGAAGGTTCACTCCATCATTCGAAATTAATTTAATTTTAAAAGTATAACATATAGTTAGTCTCAACATTGCATTTTTTCTCTTTTATTTAATACTAATTAGCACCAAAGGATTATTTTGGTTACACATTAACGTGGGGATTTCAGGGAGGCGATGATAATTGCAAAATTTTAAAACGGACAACCACAGCATTTACAATTGTATTTGATAAAGAAGTGCCGTCATTGTGCCCTCCGATCCATGTTACAATTACAACCTACCCAGCAAAACCAAGATCATATATTAGTGAAAATGTCTATTTCAATCGAGATATAATGAAACATCTCCCTAATTGCCATGCTATAATAAAGGAAGTACCTACATCTAACAACATGGTTATCAAGACAGCAGGTACCACCCACTATCCTGGATTTACAAATGGTAATTGATTCTATAAATAATAATTTTATAACATGCTAAGTTGTAGGTAGTTCTGTTCAATGATTTATTAAACTGCGACGATACATCGTCCGGCGGTGACTGAAATACACAATAAAATTGAGCTTTCACTACAAACTATCAACACTATTAAAGTAGTTATATTAAAAATGACAGTAACTAGTTTTAAGGCATAATTTTACTACCGTACATTAGGGTAATACTCGTTTTGCAAATATTTACGAGCATCATTGATTACCAAGCAAAAACACCGTTGATCTTTTGATAATACTATTTCGATAACATCCACCTAGCAACGATGAACAGAAAATTAATAGTATTCAGTTTTTCATAGTTTCATAATTATTACGCTAGAGATAGTGATCTAAAGTATTCAGTGGTAAGTAATAGTATGAACATCATCAAACCCAATTAACGGCATTACAGTCATTGTACCTTTTTAATGCGATTTCGTTAACATTAATATCTATGCAAATCTAACAATTTCCACTGATGTGTAGATAGCTGCAATTGAGTTTTAAATTATACGCCATGATACGACCGATTAATGGTATTTTTTAATACGACTGATATGCTTAGCAACACAATCAAATTTCATTTCCACCAAGCCCGCTACCATAGCAACAATAGGTAAAAACGAAATATCGTTGATTTTAAAACTTGATCTCTTTATAACAATTAGTTATGTTTCAGCTGAGCAACATAATCTACTTGAATGTAATCGCATAAATGTAACAATGATATTTTACTTTCGCAATTCTCTATAATCTTAGCAGCTATGATAGATTCTTGTATCAAATTCATAAAATTTTGTTTCTAATAGACTAATCCATACTTTCAAAGTAAATATGATTATTTTGTATAAATTTTTTTTGTAAAATCTATGTATTTTTGTGATTATTTACTCTGGGTTGAAATTATTACATTAATTCCTAGTACTTCAATATAAACCTATTGGTACAATCCTACAACCAGTATAATTTGTTGCAAGATTACGTAAAATTGTTTAATACTACAGTGTTTTAATGGTATGCTACTTAGTCATAATTACTCAGCATTTGAATTTTTCAATTTATACAATTAAAATTATTCACTACCAACACTCTAAGGTGATACAACGGGTCAAATGCAACATATAAATCTTGTACTCCTTTCAGCCATGCTATCCATATTAGCAGTCATGATGATAATTGGTTTTGTATGGTACAAACGATGGTTGAAAAATAGAACAGTATCTCGTAAGGGCTACTATCGTAAGTTAATTGGCTCATTTGAGCGTAATTATTTTTTTAATATTTTATGATTTATTACTTACTGTATGCGTAACTACTAAAATGTAATATTTCATAATAACATTGATAATTTTGAATCAGATAATGACAAGCCACCTTCCAATTCTCATCTGAATCAATCTTCAAAGTGTTCTACTCCGGGTTAGAAAGCGTTACATTTATATACTTTGAATCTAGAGTACTGTATTTTCTCGTTAAGCTTAAATCGACTCTGCTAGTTCCGTCTACCATTTGTTGGCATAAGTAATACGATGACTAAATACGAATAAAAGTTATCGCAAACTAATACATTGTTTTCATGACACAGTATTGTTAACTTATTACCGTATGTGTATGAGCTAATCAGCTATCTTTCATATTTATATTAGGTGATTGCTTAAGTCAACCTAAAGAATTAATAGGGAACCCTTTAAGCAACGAACTCGAAATCACTGAAAACCAAATTATTCACCAAGATCTACAATTAGAAAGTACTACTGTAACAAGTATGAACTGGAAATTTAGTACTAATTATATGAATGATGAAAAACAATTCTTGACCTCATTCGTTAAATCGTATTAAAATAAAATATTAAATAAAATTTTAAGTAATACTTATTCACCATGTTATTTCAACATATTTATAGATCTGGATAAATCGTCGTCCATAAATCACTCGTCAAGGGACTTATCGGTGACGTCTAATAATCCTGTATCTAACTCTGAGAGAGCTAGAAATGTTACAGATGAATCGATCAGTGTAGATAAAGTAAATATTAGGCCTGGTGAGAAATAATTTATTATCCTTAAGATAATTTAAACCATTCAAAATTAAGCACCTTTCGTTTAAATGATGAATTAATTATATGACTCTTTTATCTAAAAGGTACTGACGTATCTTATCAAATTACTAATTTGTTAACTGATCATACTTTAGCAACAACTATCTCTTCACTCGATTCTTGCAAGCAAAAAGAATTCCATGATCCATTAATAGTAGGAAGTTCGTCCTGGATGAAACAAATTCTAGGTAATGACTATAGTAATTATTCCATAGAGATCATGTCGGCATATTAAAATCCGTAGTCATGAAGTTGTATCGATACATTGTAATTTATAGAAAAAATTGATAATTACAGGACTCCATTGCTGTTATTTTGTTTTCGTTATATAAATTGATCTATATTTACTATTTTAAAATAGATACTGAAGATCAGGATACCTTCAGCGATTACAGCCACGATTCACTCTATGATAGACTTAAATCGCATATTGATCTTGATAGTTCATCAGATGTTAACAGTCTGAATGCAGGATTCGAGAAATTAGATGCTGAAGATCAGGATAGTTTCAGTGATTACAGCCAAGAACCGCTCTTCTATAATAAACTTAAATCGCATATTGATCTTGATGGTTCATCAGATTTTAATAGTCTGAATACAGGATTAGATGGTATTATCAATTAGCTATTCAAATTCTATTAATCTGCTAAATATTGGATGTATCATCTAGTTTACCGTTAACTGATGCTTCTAATATCACAATTTTCTTGTAGAAAATTCTGATACTAGTGCTTATGGCACAAGACCTCCTAGTCAGAAACCTGATTATCATCCGTCGATATACATATCGTATTTTCCCGATAGAGAAGGTCATTCTCAGGAAGCTAAAGCTCTAACCAACCGTCTACGTCACCTTGGGTTTAATGCAATTTCACACGAATACAATACTTTAGCCATTAACTATCAAGGTCAAGGAAACTGGGTTGCATCTAGCATTAGAAATGCAGATAAGGTATGTACAATTTAGTAATGCCAACGCAATCGTAAAATGTAGATTATGTATGTACAATTTATGACTTTATTCCAATTTTAGGTGATAATGATTTTATCCCCTGAATATTGCGAAATTAGTAACTGGTTGTTAACTAAAGACAAATCCGTTGGGAACTATTACACGAACAAATCTCTAATTGATTTTTTACGTGTTACTCAAGAATTAACGGAAATTAGAAACATTATCTGCAGTAATGCCCAAAAAAACACTAAAACCTTTTTGGTAAGGCTAAAAACAAGTCAACAATTAAACGCATTGGATGGCTTTAATACATTCCCTCTGCTGGATTGGCCTAAAGATGAAAACAAACTTGTATGTTTTTTACATAATGTTGAATATTATTTACCCAAACCATTACCGAAAACAACAAAAGTTATAATCGAAGCAGACGGCGAAGTTATAACGTCTGTTGTTAGTGAAAAACAATCAGATGAAGTTACGGTCATCACTACTACATGTTGATATTCTTATAGAATTCAATTAAATCTAATACGGCTATGCCGTAGTCCAATATTACACAGCATTCTGTGTCTCCTTCTAATGCTTGGATCAAGTTGTATGAATTACTGATTGTAGACTTCCTATTCATCCGTTGCCATCTACGGTCTGATATTATTGCTATATAAATCAAGTCGCAGACTTGGACATTGAAATTTTACTCAATCTGTGTGTTATTAATGGTAGATTATATAGTTAGGAAAGATATTGCACTCACTGTTCGTTGGATATTCATATTAATTTACTAGAAAATATAAATTATGTCAAAGTAGTATTAACATAATCACTTACATCTCATAAACATATGATAATTGCAAAAGTAAATCAAATTGGACATTAAGATTATTACAATGTTGCTAAGTCTGTTACCCATCATGATTTACATAACTGAAGATTGATGTTGCGCTTATACTCTATTGATTTGCATATTTATATTAACTCACAAGCCATATTTACAGGAAAGCATTATTACGCTCAGGGACTATTAATTACTGCCTTAAAACTATTCCGTTCTATAATGATTACAAAAATACTGTGTCGTATTAATTATTGCCTTGAGATAGTGGCAACACCAGGTATTTTTATTGCAACTACAGTTACGTAAAGTAGTGCATCGATTGACTTTAACAAGTTGATTTAAAAATGTTGAAAGGAATCTGTATTCATTCAGATTAAGACATCTACCAGGTAATTCTTACCCACCTTTATGATGTTCTCATCAGCCACGATTGCAACAATAATTTTGCTATAAAACTTGATTATGTGTTATAGAATAGGTTTAGGTGATTTTGCACTAGGATACGTTAAGTATTCACGATATAGTGTCAATCTTGTCTCTGTTGATTAAACGAATGCAATATCTGCGAATAAAGGTAAATTACATAGAAAGCGTACGCGGACACTTTGATTTTATTTAGAATAGATTGAATTCTGAGCAAAGAAAAATTGAAGTTTTATCGTTTTTAGCTGTTAACTTAATTATAATAACGGGCTCAACTAAGTATTATTTGATCGTACCGAAAAGTATGATCTTTGAGGGCTAACTAATTGGCATTTACCTCATTCACCATATAAAGTACTGTATTCTGCGCTGTCATTGATCAACATGGAGGCATGCTTTGCATAATGTAAAGAATGAAAGAGTCCATTTTACTGAGTCAGTTATTCATGGTCTAACGATAATGTTACATAAATAATTCTATCTAAATCTGCTATTGTGATTTAGATTGAAAGAAATGATTAAAAATTCCTTTCTTTCATCAGATTAATCAGAATATGGACTCGTCTGATATCGATATGGATAGATTGCCCTTAGCTTTCAATGAGCTACTGCAATTTATCATGACCCTTTAACCAACGTTTTTACAGTACACCTCACGAATTCAAATAAGCACTGTATGGCAATACATAATTGCCTTCTGATTGAGCAAACCCTCTTCAGTTACGAACTAGATCAATAACTGATATTAAAATCATTCTACCGTTATTTTAAGGAAATAGCTATTACATGAGATCCAAGGAACTTTAAATCCATTGAGATATCATCAGTTTAATTTCAGGACTGTAAAAATTCTCACATCAATCCTCTACTTCAAGCAATTCAAATAATCTTAATCTAAATGAAAGGCGAATTGAAAAAATTTCAAATTTGTTATTAACATGCCTTAGTCGATGAATTACTCATTCTACGAGCTTCCTGATTAAAGTTGTTGAATAATTCGCATATCATGCCCCTGTAGTAAAATATTATTACCCTCAGCATTGATTGTCATTCAATAATCAATCGCCATAATTATTACATACAGTGCCCATCGACAACCTCCTACTATGTCTTACGGACACACAACTAATTAAGTACTAATTAGAGAAACGATGACAAGATTGCCTCCTCTTTATGTCAGTTAGACTCATGTATTCAATAGTTTGACATAAGGGCGCCAGTTTTATTAGCTATCTGTAAGTAACAACCTGATTCATTCCATCTCAATAATCCCTAAAATGCCATGTCTAATCTGTAAAATAATAGACGATCACTTTATTATCAACCATCAGAAATAATTATTGACTGCCATGGAAGACTTTCTGATTCATATACCGTCTGTAGAATGATAGTTGATGGCTACATTTACTTAGTTAGAAAAAGAATCATTGACTATTGCGGATTTCTTTACCAAACTCAATACGTAATCCTCAGAATGATCGTTGATGGCTGTATTACCTATCTCCAATAATATCTATCCAATGATTGATTCCAAATTCGCAGCATAACCTGTAGATCAATAACTGATCACTTTTATTACCTAGATCGAAAAAATAACGATAGACTATCATAGATAGCTTCTAAACAAAAATATACCATAAGCAGAATAATTGATGGCTTTATTATCTCCATCGAAGAATAGCTATGAACTGTTATGGATTGCTTGATAATTCAATCTATGATCTATCGATTAATAACTGATGGCTGTATTACTAAGCTCGAAAAACAACGATTGACCATCGCAGATTGCTTCTAAACAGAAATACATCATGTGCAGAATACTTGATGGCTTTATTACCTCTATTGAAGGATAGCCATAATTGTCATGGATTGTTTGGTAATTCCATCTATGATCTATTGATTAACAACTGATCGGCTTACTACCTAGCTGAAAAAATGATAACCATCGACTATCACGAATTGCTTCCAAACTCAAGACATAATCAGCACATTAAAAGTTCATTGCTTTATTATCTGCCTCTAGCAATAACCATTGACTATCATGGAATGCTTCGTAATTCAATATACAACCTGCAAAATAACTGATCGTTAGGATTAATTGGATCATTCATGATTATATATATACAGTATACAGTCTTTTATTATAGACTTTTTCTTCTTAATTTCAGACTTCAAAAGTATACCGCTGACATCGAAATTGTTCTTGTCTATATGTCAAATTAAGTGGATCGCCATCAGTTAATAATAAATAAACAGCACAATGAGTTTAATTTTTATTGATTTGACTTCGTGGCAGTTTAGAACATCTTAAAAATTATGAATGTTGATAGTTTCTTCCATCGTCATAACGCATGGATGACAACGATAAAAATATTAATTATCATGTTAGTTACGATGATAGCCTTGACAATTTATATAGCAAGCCATCATCTTCAACCAACTTATAGAAGATCATTCCATTTACGGACATACTCATACAACCAGGTAAACCAGGATTAGTTTAATTCTATTCATGAGTTATGTGAAAATCACAGTGCATGTAAAAGAGTAGCTAATATATCGTACATCTCTAGAAAGATCTCAATCTTCACACACAGTCTATTGCAGCATCAATAAATTGAGAAGAAAGATTTCCCTACCCTCGTAAAATTAGGTCCAACATATATCTTGAATCGTGGAATGTACATCTATCTATAAACATCTTAATTTTAGAAGAACTACTGCCTCTATTTTCAACCCAACGAGTAAAATTAATCAAAAAGCTTACAACCTTATCACTGACTATTTTCACTGTATTTCATATTAACAAGAGACGAAAACTTTCATTTAAATTGACTTTTACGCAAGCTACGGTGCTGTTTCCAATTTCTGTATATTTGGCCTTTAACGTAATAAGATATTTATTCACAGTTGGAGGAAGCTAATCTTTAACTAATGTTGTCCATGAGCATTATATCATTTCCTTGTTCATATTTTCCTTGTTTGTCTTTGTAACTGTTGAGATTTCAGATACTGTTTTCTATACCAGCAGCCTATCCAAGAAGACAAGTCATGGATTCTTATACCCGTGAATCCTAACTTAAAATACGAGTACATGGATTTATTAAAATTGGTTGGATATATCTAATATTGCACATAATTTGTTTATAGTCCCGTCTCTAGCAAATAATATAAAAATACTGCTAAGAATTTGAAATGTTGTTTACATGCTGGTAATCTATCCTACAAGACATGTCATGGATTCTTGTGCCTGTGAATCCCACCCAGTAATACATCAATTTATCGAATTGGTCGGATGCATCTAATATTGGGTATTAGCTTATGGCTCCGTCTCTAGTAAATAATATGAATACTGCTTAAATTTTAAATACTGTTTACATGCCAGTAACCTATCCAATGAGACAAAGATTCTTGTTCTCGCCAATCCTCCCTTGTGATAAATGAATTTATCGAATTGATTAGACATATCTAATATCGTACATAATTTATTTATGGTTCCGTCTCTAGTAAATAATATGAATACTCCTGTAATTTTAAATACTGTTTACAAGCCAGTAAACAAGATCAGTCATGAACTTATCAAATTGATTGGTTATAGCTAATATTGCGCATTAATTTACTGTGTGATCTAGTCTCTAGTGAATAATATAAATACTGTTGAGATTTTAAATACGGCTTACATGCCAGTATCCTATCAAACAAGACAAGTCGTAGATTCTTATGCCTGTGAATCCTAAATTGTAATACATAGGTTTATCAAACTGGTTAGATATATCATATATTGCACGTAATTAGTTTATATTCCCGTCTCTAGTAAATAATACAAATAATTTAGCCGCATCTAAAGTTTTGATGAGATTTCTCGTTGCCGTGAGGAAAGGGTTGGGGTTAGGTAAAAAAATAGTGATCATCTTTAAATGCTGAATGATTCAGTGATGATATATCTGAATTTTATTGCACTCTTTTACTAGTCTATCTAACTCGAGCAAAAATCTTCTATGTCTAAAAAGAGCACATGATCAGTGCAAATATCACAACCAACAGTACCCTAATTTTACAGCATCATAAATCTACTAAAAATGATCAGATAGTAATAAAGCAAGCGGTGGAAAGCGTTATATTTCTTTCTCTACTTCCCATAGCAATCTCGGATCACGTTTGACGAATATTACCTCAATCAATTTAAAGATAAAATTCACAATATATAGTAATCAAATTATCTTTTCATATTTAATAATAATTTCATCCGATAGCTTAGATACCCATATGTGCATGTTTCCATACGACATATAAACTGCCTCGATTATATCCAATCCCATTTGTTATTGAAGTCAAATTTCTGCTATTGTGGACGGAAAACAGTTTATTTCTTTCCTGATTTTTAGGACTACTTTGATTATTAACTCCATTAGTTTAACGATAAACATTATCTATCCTGATAACTTCATTTGAAAGCTTATGTATGCACGTATAATCTATGTCTTCCGTGACTCCTTCGAACAAGCTCGAACGGTTTTGATTAAGTCTATCAATTTCATTATAAAATGAACAGTTCCTGTTCTGATAATTTTATTTAAAGGATTATGGGCACATGTATATCCTTCTACGCTAAATAGAAACTGCTTCGATCAGATCCAATTACATTTATTACCGTACTAAAAGTTAAACTGTTGATCGTTATAATTTTAGTGATATCATGCAAGAATTTTTGAGTAGTAAAATTAAAAGTTATGAATACCCAATGTCATTTCAATCAATATCCAGACAAAACTGATATATCAAAGTCCAATCATTAGCTTGCTTCTACATTCAGTCTTCATCTTTAAAAAGGAATAATTCACATCTAAGACTTTAAATTTTAGATACATAAAAGATACAAAATTATCTCCATGTTCTACATGGGCACTTGCAATCAACTGAGTATCTAGTCTTTATACCTTGCAATAACAGCAATATTAGTAGCTTTAGGCTTGGCTCAATTAACTCCACTTAAGTCTTTCAATCACTCATTCAATAGCAATCTGTCTTGCTGTGATAAATATCTTGTTGGGAGTAAAATGACTTGGAACCCCTAAGGTCATCTTGGCTACCTTATCATTTCTTTAGAAGGTTACAGTTGAATAGTAACCGTACAAAATAATGCCAATACTTCACCTGTATAGGGTGAATACTGTAGAGATATTAGCCAGAATAACGGAGAATATTGACATCAAAAATAAATTAACAGATCAAGAATGACGGAACTTCCATTACTTCCGCTATTACTTTCACACGAATACAATTGGACTCTACATAAACAAACAAGAAAGGGCAAAATAGCAAACAATTTAGACAATATACGTAAATCAAAAGCAACTCAATAATTATAACTAGCCAGCGAGAATAGTTTGCGGCCAATCTCTTATTGAATGTCCTTTAATATTTGAAACATTTGGACCTGTTCATCCATCCGAAGCATCTAATTTTAAGAAATAGGAACTTATTTGATGAATTTTAGCTGGTATTTAGTAAGCCAATGCTAGGTCACAAACGCTGAGAAGCTACTGCAATATTTATTTGTGCTAATTACTTTCCGTTTCATCTATATTGCTGAGATCTACTCCATTCATTTAAGCTACAATTTATACGCTATAATATAGAACTTTATAATATAGAAATTATTAATACAAGACAATAAATACGTTGCTGCGAATGATAGCTTATTCTATTAAAACTATCGAATTAACTAATAACTTTACCTCATCTTACAGATAAGTATGGTTAAAATTTGCACAAGAATGAACTTTTCATTATCTATTTTAGGTCAATTCCCCTTCACTTTGGTTTGCCAATTCTATTTTATCGACTTATAAGCGACAACTTCAAGCTGGACTAGTTCATCGGCTGCATGGTCAGTTACTTACAGTTATTTGTCCATGATCTTAATATAGACTAGACCTCTCAGTTATTAAACTATTTTTTTAAACTATTGAATGTAAATCTTTTTCATTAGACAGCAATGCTGCTACCAGAGTATGTCCAGTTTTATCGACCAGTAACGATAAAAGGGGAACATTACTTAATAGGAATCGTTTACGATTTCGAGGAAGGCCTAAAATAACTAAAATAAAGGACAATATCGTTTTATACCTGCAATGGAAATCATTACCTATCCAGGGTAAGCGCTTAAATTGATAGTATTATCAATGTAATCAAAAATTTTCCGTTTACTATTTGACTATCAATGCTAACAAGACAGTCGTATCAAAATATTATTTATATTTATACACATATACATACATTGACTATCATCAAACTACCAGAAATAATCACTAGTAGAAGACGTAATTTGCGGAGCCCTGATTCTATATTGAACTATTCATACTAAAGAGAATATCATCTTAGAATGCACACTTATTATACACGTAATCATATCAAAATCTTTCAGTGACCATATGCTTTTTTATACGTTGAAATATTTGTCCTCAAACTATCAATACAAATAGGCAACGTAAGTCATGTAGGCATAACCCAATTTTAGAAATATTCTCACTTATAACAATCCAAAATTAGTTTACAATCATTTTGGTAAAGCGAAATGTAGAGCATTTATGATTTATTTTACATATGCAAAAATATTTATTACCAAAGCATCAATATATTTTAAATAGATAATGTAATTCATGCAAATATTATCCAGTTTGAGATTATTCTCACTTTATAGTGAGAAGTATTTCCTTCCATTATATCGATCTATCTTATGATATCTAGAAATAAGATTTAGTAGATAAATTCTAATAGTAATTTTAGATAAACTTGTTCTACCTCTAAACAGACCTCTAATTTCATAGACTTGGTTACTTATATAAATTATTTCGTTGCTTGGGCGCCAGTCAGCCATGGTCATTTCATGTATTGGAAGGAATACTGTATCGAAGTATCTAAATATAAGACTTCTATCAATATTTCTCTTCAGCTGGATCAAAGACAACTATCTACTTCGTGTCCATTATTATATGTTACCCTTATCGCCAATTCTATTAATCATCAAGGCTACATTATATATGATCTAGTTAAATTAGATAAAAGTATTCGCAAGTTAGCCCATTGCTCAAGATATCCTCGGTTCATACGAACTGCATCCAAGAGTAGTAAAGACGGTAGTATGGCACCTGAGAAAGCTCTAACCAATCCACCTACCCCCTCTTACAAACCATCAGGTTATTTCTATAAGTAGAGTTGTTTGTCTGACCGATATTTATTATCTTATTACGGCACTAAAGGAAAATATTATAGCTTCCTAAAGTTATGCATTAATGTTAAGGTTTTGAAATAGAATACACATTAAATACAGTACTGTATCATCCTGTAAAAGCAATCAATCTTATACCAAGTACCATTTTGCTAGTAGTACCTTATATCAGAATAAACTGCAACACATCAGTTTGAGTGATTATAAAGCCTTTTTACAGCATCTGACATTATGCAATTACAGAAATATCTGCCTTTCAAATCTAATACGAAATGTAAGAAAAAAATATGATATTTGAACAGTGGATAGTGTTAATATTTTTGAGTAAAAATTAGTTTCGTAGTACTGCAATACAATCTATTTTTATCACATATCTATATCAGATTATACTTAATAGTAATCATCATCTAATTATCATTAGCTTATTAAAAATCCATTTCTTAAGGTAAAAAGCAAAACGGTAGATTTGTTTAATTTCATATTAACATCTTCAAATCATGACTCTTTCACAGGAAACATGCCATTCTTAGCTACTGCTATGTTGGCGGTATTTCTATCATTATTTAGCATATGTATAACTGTATGTATGGCTGCATTTTGCTGGTGTGAAAAATATCGTCAGCAAACAAAGAGGACTCATAGTAAGACTGGATTCAAATTTAAAATTGAGCTTGACGTTTTATTTTTCTATAAAATCTTAATATAAATAATATGGAAATGTTATAAGTATAATATTTATATATAATATTTATTACTAAAATGGTACCATATAATTGAATCCTAACTGTATATATGTAATATATATATATATATATTATTGAATGATTGCATGGATTTCAGCTTTCTTTCCGCTGATCAATTAATATATTGCATATGCAAGTTTTAACTATTACTATTGAATTACATGATAATTAGTAATTTAGCATATATATAAAACAGCTAAAGGGTGAGATTCCGAGTAGCTATTTCGTATGTTTAAACGTCAATTGTTCCAGCTGCAATAGTGAAGTATAGTACAAAATTAAAATGATCTATTTATAGCATTTTATAATCCTTCTTATGCAGTAACATTGCCTCCTATTCAAAGTCAAGTTACTGCTACATTGCCATCTATAAGTCAACAAGGTAAGAGGACAGCTTTTTATTTATCTCAATACCTACTAAATTTATGAATTTGATGGAAATGATCTGATAATGTTATAATTTATCGTTGCATCAAGAAGATTAATAAGATGTCATAATCAGAAAATGCAATAAATGTGGTATTACATTTGATGACTTTGTAGTCTGAATTGATGCTAGAAATATCCAAACTCTCACTTAATTACTTATTTTCAAACATATGTATAAATACATAGCTTGATATGTCTCTTTGATAGAAAATCCAGTCTTATTGTAGCTAATGTTATTAGGTTGCAATATTAACTTGCCATATATTCGTTGCTTGCATTAAGGCACTCCAATCTATCATATTCTTTATTCAGACCTCAATTTATCAAACGATAGCTACGAGCACAATAATTACTATAATAAATGAATCTGCTATCACCAATTCCTCTATTATATTGATAAATCACTTACCTATTGCAATATTATCATCAACTAATGCTACAGGTCTAGAAAAATATACCACTATCTCCAATTTACAGAAGACAAATGCCAACCCCACAGGAACTGCTATACCTTTACAAGAAAATCCTCATTATATCAGTAAGGATGCTACTTATTTCTCCTTATGTAATGTCTCATCCCTTATAACTACTGTATATACTGTGATCTAAGCTAATATAACCTACTGATTATGATTTTGTAAATGCAAATGATATGTTTGCAGAATATGACATCACCTCAATTAATCTGGAACTACCAACCCAAAATAAACTGTAGCACGAACTTAACTCAGGTTATTCTATGTCTGTACAGATTTTTATATCGATGTAGGCTACATAGATAATTTCAGCTTAATTTAGAACAATTGCAGTTGTGATTGTAAAATTATAAGTTCGTAGAATATACGTCAACTATTGCAATTTTGACAATAGCTGGTGTTGTTATTTCACATTATTTCAGCTCATTCCAAGCCATCAACGTGGAGCAAAGTGGAAGTAGATCATGATCCATGTGACTGGACATTAGATTGATGATCTGATTACGAATGTACTACACTAAAATTATATATTGTCTTGTAACTGTATCTTGGGTATGCAATCAAAAATCACTTTAGCTCCTCCAAGATATTAGCAAGGGATAAGTTACAGTAATAATGCTATTCTGATAATTCCAAGTTGCTAATGATTCTAGTAACTCTTTTTCCAATGCAGATTCTCCTAAAATATATAGACAGTAAGATTAATGCTGTAACTAGATAGAACACAGCAGTATAGATGCGAAATAAAAATTTGTTGGATTACCTAAAGATAAGTAGAATGGATGGATGCTAGTTAAAGATAACACTTTGAGCTCATATTTGCCCTTCTCTGAGATAGTAGACAAATGAAATATGATGCATGATGCTCCTTCGCTAGCTAACCTACAAACTATCTTCTTCTTAATTGCTGTAACAATAGTATTTATGATGAAATATAGTACATAGTATTGCAAAGCGTTGCAAATTTTAAATAAGGAACAATACTATGAGCGAAATACGCAGCCTCTGCTCATTTTTATTTTTATTATTGCAAGAGAATCTCGTAAAATGAAGCCCCTTGCAAATACAGCAAATTTGTAGATAAAAATATGGCCCTGTTTACTAACTAATTAAACTGTTGAATAATTAGAAATTTTCCATAAACTGTTTATTATTATAATTTGGTGTTGGTTACATAATATGTAAAAAATTAGCAAGCTTAAAAAAAGCTTGATTATATAATAAAATTAACTTTGTAATAAAACCAGTGTATTATAACATGATATTATGTAACGGTGTGTTGGAATGTTTTCAGCCCATATAATGGACTAATAAACTAGGAAACTGCATAATTGTCTGGTATCCGCAGCTAGCTCAAAATGGCCTGGACTATTATTTGATTTGTGTAATAATGTTCGACTAGCTTATTCAGTTTGCTTTTTCTACATGATGTTATATCGATTTAGGTATTAATACCAAATATTAGATACTGCTTACAACATTGCAATATTAGGACTGTAAGTCAAAACTGTTTTAAAATAGCTTTTGATATTTACTACGGTTTGCAAAACTGCTACCCATGTTGATCTGTATAGATACTAGGCATGAAGACAGTTTCTTAATGAATAATGCCATTCATTCCAATCATACTGACGCAGCTTCAATCTGGTGAGAAAATATTTAGATATAGCTGTCAGGTGGATAATGGATGGTTATTGATATTTGCATTGATCATTATGATGTATAAGCAGGAATTAAAATTATCTAGATCGAAAGAGCTTCCTCCCGGATAAGCTTTTATTGACAATAGCAATTTTAAAGTAATATTATATTTATAAGTGCTTATTTCGGTTCATTATTATGATAAACATTCAAGACAAAAATTAAATTATCTAGATCAAGAGAGTTTTCCCTCTACTTATACTGGTGATAGCAGTCTTTTAGTAATACGGTATTGATTAGTACTTATTTAAGGCTAATTATTGAGAAAAAAATTCGAGGCAACAATTAAAATTTCTAGATCAAAAAATATTTAATTCCATTTTATTAATGATAGCAATCCTGAAGTCTCACTATGCGTACGCATATTCATGCACTTATACCCATCAGGAGCTGATTACTATGATAAAAATTAGAGACAATTACTGGAATTTTCTGGATGGAAGATATTAATCTTCGCTTTATTGACGATAAAAACCTTGAAATGACAATGTATTTACTTACGTATACTCATCTCAGGTTGATTATTATGGTAGACATTAGAAGTAATAATTAATTAATATTATCTAGATCGGAAGATGTTTAATTCCGCTTTATTGAAGATAATAGTCTTGAGATAACAGATTCCTCGGAGATGTAGACTCATAAAAGGCTGATTATTTTGATAGGTATCAAAGTAATAATTGAAATTATCTAGATCGAAGATATTTACTCCGCTTTATTGATGACATCAATCTTGACATACGCTATACTTAGATATGTACAGTATAATCATCAAGGACTGATTGTTTATGATAAACATCAGAGGCCATGGTTGAAATTACCTAGATCGAAAGGCGTTTGATTCTGCCTTGTTGACGATAACAATCTTGAAATGCCTTATCAATATTTACTCATCAAGAGCTAATTCTTGTGATAAACATTAGAGGCAATAACTAAAATCATCTATATCGAAGGTATTTGTTTAATTCCACTTGGTTGATGATAGCAATCTTAAAGTAATAGTACATTCTATTTGTATGTGGTTATCAACAGGAAAGAATTTTCCCTCGTGAAAATACTTTACTTGAAATTAGTACTAAACAATGAAGTTGACGGAAGTAATGGAAAATTGTAAATAATTCATTTAATGAGGAATTTAACCTAAAATGTAAATAATTACTTCAGCAATGTAGAAATAAAACAATTTTCCGGTGACGACCGAAACAAAGCTGTTTTTTATAAGCTATATTAGTTATATTGAAGTAGTCGGTAACTGTAGAAATTTCATTAATTTGTGCTCAAAACGTTTAATGAAACTGATAACAATCAAGAATAGCATCCAAGGTTTAGGCCACTTCTTGTATATACAAGTCAAAGCGATTTTTAAATTGTACAGTTTTGTTGTCAGTATGACCTTAGCGAAGCCCGTGCAACATTTGCACTATACTCAGTATACCGTATAGAGTACGCTTATAATATGGCTAATGAGAAATAGATCTAAGCGTGAAATATTTCAAAATAGTAAATTAGGTAAACGATCGTGATATTTATACAAGTTAGCTTCATCATAACATTTTTTTCTGTCTACCGGATCGATTAACTAATGTTTTAAACACGATCATCCTATAACTCAAAGTCAAAAAATTGATTTATTAGATTATATCTTAGTCGTAGAGCCAAGCACTGTAATATCTCTACAATTGTGAAATTGGAGAGCTTTAGCTTTATTTGGTATTAGCTATGCTCTGTAGTATATTATTATAACTAACCATAGTTGGAATAGTTACCATTTTTCTAGAAAAGCAACAATATTAGTGATAGCTCTACAGAAGAATATCAAGCACTTGCTATAGCCATAGAATACTAAGCGAGAGCATTTGTCTGACAGAATTTTTATTATTTTTAATTCTAAATTGGTTTAAAGGTTTTAGATAGTATAACTTATTGACTTCAGCAAAGCTGTACAGAATAAATCAAGTTATATAGAGTACTAAATAAAAATACTGGTCTAATAAAGCTTATTTAGTTTTTCAAGATTTTAAACTGACTATAACGTATTGTTTTTGACAATTTAAGATAGATATAACTTGTCGACTGAAAAAATCTAGATTGATATGAACAAATTTGATAATTTCCATCGTCAACACCAATCGCAAGAAAGTTTTTCATGTATAAATTGTCAATTGAATGAAATAGCCAGTTTACCTTCAAGAGTCAATGCTCTTGACAGTTACTATTTTTAATTATACCTGGAGATATCAAGCATTAAACTTATTTGTTTTTAATGGTTTTGATGACATCACAATATTAATCCTCTAATATATCCGGTAGTCAGTGCTTAATGGTGAAGTTAAAATGCATTATGATTCATAATATTAATTCGATTACGTCGACATAATTGTATTTTGCGGACAATAGTCACCGGGATTCCTGGATAGGATAAATACTTTCTACGCTATTTTAGTCAATATAAATTATGGAATTTAATACTAATAATATGCAAAGTATTAGAGTGCTTTGTATAGAAAATGGGAATTGTAGCAATAAATAACAAGGTTATAATCAGTCTATTGTGTGATACTAATTATGGCGTAAAATTAAATTGTCCATTATATTAATAAAGTTAGAGAATTATATAAGTAGAATCAATTAACATTACAATTATACTCTGTACGTTATAAAAAATTTAAACTTATCGTTGAAAAATGTACGCTACCATATGTTTATTCTTTTATGATCCTTGTCAACAGCATTTCTTTTACCATACTCCATCAGCATGCATTGGTATTTTTAAATTGAGTATTCAATAGATTCCGACATAAATGAGTTAATTCTATTGTCTCTTCATTTTGCTAGGACTGCGTTACTGTAATTTCATTTGATCTGCTACAACGAAACAAAATAGTTTTAAATTATTCCATCACAACAAGGACAATTTATGGCGCCATTTTCGATCACTCTATGATGAATTCTAGGTTACCGATTCGCCGTATGACTAGTAACCGATGAAAATTATTTATTTATAGAAATACCGAACATACCACAGCTTGATAATTTCATGATTGCTATTACTGTAGCAATTAAATATAGATGATTTATTCCTTTGGCACTGCATAATATTAAGCAGATGATATTAAGAAAATAAAGTAACTTACTCGATAGTTTCATGGTTGTTGCTACTACTGTAATTAAGAAATATCTTAAGTGTTGCTTGGGACTACATCTTGCTTTTATGAATTATGGAAAGAAATGATGAGTAAACAATCATGTGAAGATGGTATCTTGCTACTGAGTGTCCTCTATATTTTAATATTATGATTCATATCCTGAAGATAAATCTATCACTAAAATCAATTATCCATTATTTCGTTCGTTTCGGTGATGGCATGAGATCAATTTTGATATTAAATTTTTGTATTGATAATGTATATTACATCAATATCACATTTCATA